AAGCAGCGTTTATTTCCTAGTCTTGAGCTCTATTGTATCAGCAATACTCAGCCACTGCAAGATAATCGCAAACAGCAGCTTTGCGTTTTGATCCACAGAATTCGCCTAGGTAAAATTCCCATTCATCTCTCCGTATTCAATTGGTTTTCTCTGTCCCGGTCCACTCGTAATAGTCTCTCACTTCCCCGTGCTAATTCAGCCGCATTTACCAACTCTCCTCTGTTTTTGTCCTACAGCCTTTGGCTGCAACTTCCCCAGCATGTTAAGACATCAACATGTCTTTCCAGCTTTAAAAATGCACTCCGATCGCATAATGTAGTACGATAGGATCTCATTGCTGGATTCTTGTCTATCCTTCTTTCTTCTCTTTTTCTATATTCCTTTCTTTTCTTTTCTTGCCGTGGTTGGTTATCACCCCTCTCTCGCACTTTGCGTGCCAATTGGTCATGAACCACGAGTTGAGTGAAATAAATAAATTATGTGGAGATGAAGTTTGAAAATGTTACTCGTTGTATCTCTGGAGAGGAACCCTCCCTAACCTCGTGATATCTTATTTGTACTTTCGAACAAAAATTGATAAAAAGGCTTTATGAATGGATTGTTACTCAATCTGCGGACAGAACTGTTTCGTCCTTTGTGGACTCATCAGTGCAGCACCGAGGAAATGAGCCCGAACCTGGTAGTAATGAAAAAAATAGTTTCTAAAGCCAGATTAAAATCAAGCCGGAACGTAACTTGTCAGAGTGCTTAAACTGACAAGTCAGGAACGCAAAAGGCAAAGGCACTACCCCACACAAGAGTGCTAAACTGCTACAAGCAGGAGCGTAATAAACGAATGGGTTGCTATCTTTTCGTGAACTTTCGATGAAAAATTAAAACAGTCTCCTTTAAATATTCGACGTGGAGACAATAATTTTTAATATTGCAATAAGGAGAACGAGCTTAAGTGATATTTGGACTACTTTATTAAACAATGTTAAGTTCTGGAGACGGTGCGAAAAACGATCTAAAAGGTAAGGAGAAAAGCGATGGAAAAAAAGATGATTCGAACATGTTTTCGTACAACACTCTTCAGGAATCACCGTTGTACTAAAGAATAAAATAAGAACAAAGGAAATATTATAGCAATCAAATTAGAGTAGCAAGGTACAGTGACAGCACTAAAATATCAAAGTGTGATACTTCTCATAAAGGTGTGCACAAAACAAGGGTATGAGAATTATACGCGTTGCATTATGTGTATCACCAACGAAAGAAAGTGAGAATGCATAATAATAGCAAATATTGTGAAAAGAAGAAGGACAAAATGTTACGAGTTATGACTAACTGTCCACCAACGTAACCGGATCTTATACAGTCTTTTCACACTAATTTAATCGGCTCACCATCCGAGTTCAACAGCAACATTTAATATAAACGGCAATAAGTTTTAAGGAAGAGGACATATGGATACGAGTTAAGAGCTAGTAACTCTACATCACCGTAACCAGATACTCTACAGTCAGAAAGTGCAACAACTAGGCACAAAGCTGACAAAGTACTGAGACATTCGACGTCCTGACACCTAGCGTCAACACATTTCCGTAGCGCTAACCGACAGCCGTCCAACTGTGCCTAGTTGTTGCACTTTCTGACTGCATATAGTATCTTGTTACAGTGATGGAGAGTTACTCTTAACTCGTATCCATATGTCCTCTTCCTTTCTACATTTAGTATTGGCTCAACATCCGAGTTTCAATAAGTTTTGGAAGCTATTTGTCCTAAAGTAGTCCAAATGTCACAGTCTCCTTTGTTAGATCTAAAACTAATGCAAGAAACACTGATATTCTAAAGCAATCACTATTGGAGGCGTGATTACATGAGCAGCGAGCAGAGTGAAAGTAAATGTAGAGAAAAGAGAAATGCAGGTGAGGAAGGTACATGTACATGAGTGGGTATGTGAGTGTGGGCATGTTAAGGGGGCACATCACCCAAAAATTTCATATGGCATTCAATTGACTGTAACTTTGGTGTTTCTCAGTGGATTTGAGTGAAATTTTGACCACACACTCCTGCCACTATGCTGGCCCTCAGGACATGATTTACAAGTTCTTGCGCCTCACTGACAGGCTTTCCAGGCCGGAAAAACTCAAATTTCCGGCATAGTGCTACGGTGTGCGAGCCACCCAGGAGCCAAACAAATGCATTTACATTTTTTTTTCACATTTTCGTGCCCATTCTGTCCGTGCGAAGGACCCAAACCTAAAACAAGTCCAGAAGCAGCCATGGGTGGTGGGGTAGGGCCCCTCAACGTGGCCCTGGAATCTGTCACAACGGAACGAGTGGGCGTTCTCCCACGGACTCCCACAGACCCAAGTCAATTTTTGAATTTTTTTAGGTTTAGCAGTGCTACGAGGTCGTACCTTTGATACAACATCCAGTGCTGGGACCTCCACAGCAAGCCATTTCCACAGCGCTGCACACCAAATCCAGGATGCCCTCAGAAACCGGCAAAGACTGCCACTCACGTTTCACTACTGCCTAGTACTGAATCCTACCTGACTTCTTGACACGACTCAAACTTGCCAAAGTCACTAAATCAACGTCAACTACAATAATCAAGCCACATATCTGCAACGTCACGAGGGTGCTGGCAAAAGTCCTGCTGCACGGCGGCGGGCTTCGCCCGCCGCCGTGCAGCCCAATACGTGGTTTTTTAACGTGATTTTTGGACTTTTTTGGACTTGGGGCAAAATTCTGCACACTTTCGCGTGTTTCCATAATACGACAAGTTGCACACGGTCTGCTCACATTCAAATACAGTGCTGCCAACAAATGACAGCATGCAACACAAAAATCTCTCCTTGCAAGGGCACATTTTCGGCCATAACTCTTGAACGGCTGGTCAGATAGGGACACAATTTTCAGAGAATTTGCAGCTATTCATGCTCTTTCAACTGACGTAGCACTCAATATGAATTTACAAATTCGATTTTTCAGCGAATTTTTGGGTAGTCTGCCACCTTAAGTGAAGAGTGTGAGTGCTGTAACGAATTCTTTCTGTTTGCGTAAATCTGGATCACGAGTACGAATAAACAAGGCTTCTAATATTGGAGAGTAGACGAAAACTACTAGCATAGCACACCACACAGAAGCAGGAATCATCATACAATTGCAAACATTGGGGGTTGGACACCAAATGCCTGAATACAGCAGATCTACGAGTAGTCACAAACATTGCACACTGCTCGCTGCTCATGTAATCACGCCTCCAATAGTGCTATCTTTATAATACCGGTATCAGTGTTTCTTGTATTAGTTTTAGATCTAATAACCTACACCTTATGATACCATAAAATTAATAGTCTCCTTTGTGTGCAACATTTCAATTGATCGTAACTCAGTCAGTCCTGTTATATTTCCAAAAACTAAAATTCGTATACGTAGGTCGAAAAGAATATTCCCAGCTGCCCATTGAAACAATCGTGGAAGCGCCCCGATGTGTGGTTCCAGAGTTACGAAGCCTGAAAGTCGAATCGCGGCGAATAGGCCTTGACGGATTATGCTAGCATAATTTTTCGCATAATTCCTACCAAAATCGAATAATCGCATAATTCGAGGCAAATTGCATACGAATCGCATAAAATTGTAATAATCCGCCTGTTCGCATCAAATTCCATACAGTTGTACATGTTCTACAAGTACAAGTACAAGTAGATGCACTAGGAAGTTGTTGGTTTACGACTCCCTTGATAACATGTCCAGTCAGTGATGGTCGTAGCTAGGTCGGACGGTGCGTTGACCCCGTTGAACTTTTGCTACTACTAGTACTACAGTACAACGCCCTCTACAAAAATATTCCCTTGTTATTTTGCACAGAACCATTATGCATTAGCAGCATATGTGATTGTGAGCATAATGCGGCATAATATGATAACTTTTAGCATAAAAATAGCATAATTCTGCAATTTTTTCAGCAATGCGAAAAGCATAATTTCACGAAAATATTAGCATAATCCGTCAAGGCCCAGGCCTAGCGGCGAATGTAGCGCAATAGCCGCGTGCGCATATTTGAATGAGGGATTTCCCACATTCTGGGCAAGTAATGACGGTGAAACACGTTGAAAATGCCGGCATACGGACTAGTGGCATACGGACTAGTGGCATACGGACTAGTATAGGACTAGTGTAGGACTAGTGGCATACGGACTAGTGGCATACGGACTAGTGGCATACGGACTAGTATAGGACTAGTGTAGGACTAGTGGCATACGGACTAGTGGCATACGGACTAGTGGCAGTTTGTGAACTTTTTGAAGTAATTAATCGTTATGAGCAAGGCTAAGAGCGAAATGGCAAGACGACTTCTGTTGGATTATTGGCGTGGCAACTAACACACTGGGATATAGCGCCAGAGTTTTGACATTCGTGATGGCAAGTGTAGGCTCCTCTTGCGACGAGCTTTCCAGGAAGCCCAAGATTGAAAAAATCGTCAAAAGGAGACTAAAGTCGTAGCCCGGAGAATTATGGAATTTGAGGTGAGTCGAGATCAAATAAATCAGTCGGCGTACATTTTCCGTACATAAAATAATGGCTTCAGAGAGCATGCGCTACTGTTGCCGTCATTGTTGATTTGTTGCCGTGGATCAGTTCATGACTCGTATTTCTCGTCCCCTGGTCCTGTTGTCAGCGTGTTGTGGTCTCTGGCGATTTCATTCAAAGAGAGGGCAAGGGCATGGATGTTTTAGTGCTGGTAGATTAGTGGAGAGGAATGTGACCTCGCTCCTTGTGTGATGCATTACGCTGAATTAACTTAGGACTAATACCCTCGCAGTCAGCATTATTGGCCTCATTGGTTTCCAGATGTGGGTAAAGATTATGTGACTAATCCAGCGGTGCTAAACATGTTTGTTGTTCGTTTGTTTGTATTTATCTGCAAGAAGAAGTGCCAAGAACCCAATAACATGAGAGCGACTGTGATGATGGCTACGGCCAACATCTTCGTGTCCTGTTTCTAACAGATGTCAATCCACACTGTACTGTCATTGGTCATCTGCTGCTATGTACTCACCGGTACTACAGTGATGAGTTGTCCAGCGCCATGTTCGTGTGATGGTGCACCTCAGTACACTGTAGATTGCTCCTTCTACGCATTAACAATGGTGCCGGGTGGAATACCGAATACAACAATAACTCTGTAAGTCACCCATCTTGGAACATGCCGTGCAGCCATTCACACTTTCCATATCTGTTACACTGAATTGTCGGCATTTGTAATGTGATGAGATCATCGGCTCAAAGCTCCGAATCTATGTGATGGATTTTCTTGATCCATTGTTTTTTTTAGAAAGACTCATCTCTTCTCTCTTTCGTGCCTTCCGAGCCTTTTCATCGTTGAAAAAAATTCAAAAATTTGAATCCACCAAAACAATTTCCAAAGCACAAAAAAATGTTAAGCTAGCTAGCTGAGCCGCGCGGCCGCACGGGCACGAAACCGAAGGCGGCAAAAACAGTGTACGCATTTTTTCAACAGCAAAAATGGAATGGCGCGTACGCATGCTGTTCAAAAGTTCACGTGGCAGACTGTACAAGTACATGTACAACCTAGTTACGTACACGTATATTGATGTAGTGCATGCACGTACAGAAAACAAACAAAATGTAGACAGGCAGGCGCCGCGCGATGTTGCAAAGACAGGCAAACACTGAAGCAATCAACAAGCAGGCACTCTAATTATCATGCACATAAAAGAGCGAAGAGCAAGAGACGACAGTCATCATTGAAGTAACTAGTACTAGTAGTTTCAGAAAGAAGACAGGTAAATCTACGACATCTCGGAGGTAGAATGGGTGACTTGCGTGGTCCAGAGTGTCAAGGCTTCTTCGGAGACGATCCGCAGTTCAGGAGACGAGAACGAGAGCGTTTACCGCTGCCACCAATGTAGTATTCCCTTTCCTAATAGTAATACCAGACTATTCCCAGGTTTCATCAGACACTCAAACTGTTCATATCGATAGTAAAACTAAGGTTACTTGTCACAGAGGAGAGGAGAGAGAAAGGCAAGAATCACGTGAGCATGCGCGCGGCTTACAAGGCCAGAGATTCGTCACGTGGACAGGAGCAGGAAATACGAAATACAAATGTAAGAAATAACAATCGTCAGTAATCATTGGCCTATACTACACAATTCCCCTCTTCTCACCATTCACGACCTCGTGAATAATAGGCAAGCAGGGCAAAAACAATTAAATTTATAATAATTACGGGTATACAATGACCTAACTACGAAAAATAGTCATCAAATCTCGCAGGAGCAGTGAGGATCCGGCCTGATCGACACACTAATACTGGAGTAGCAGCAGGAGGAGGTAGGGGTGAGACCGCAACAGGCAGCGACAACGGTGGCGTACTTGGCACAGAGTCATCTGCATCATGTGGCACAACAGGAACAAAGTGATTAGCTGACAAACTCACTGGGTCGGGGAGATCATGGACAGACGACGGTAAGGAAACTGGGCACGATGAAGTAACTGGCTTCAAGCGATTGAAGTGAACAGTACGTTTAACTCCATTCAGCAATAACGTGTATAATGTCGGACCATGAACACGCACAATAGTATGTGGACCAGACCAGAAACGATGAAATTTACGGTGCTCGCCAGCATGGATAACTGGATCATGAAGATATACTTGCTGACCGACAACATAAGGCTCACCATGAACGCGACGGTTATAGAACTGTTCTTGAGACGCATGAGCAAGATCAGCATTATGACGGGCTTCAACATGAATATTCCGCAGAGAAGTGTCGAGACTACGGACATAGGTATGCATATCAGTGGAAGGTGGCGAAGGTAAATTGAACACAATATCAGCTGGTAACCGGACATCCGCACCATACAGAAGGCGCGCTGGACTGAATCCAGTGGACTTGTGCACTGCAGCACGATATGACAGCAAGACGAAAGGGAACGCTGCATCCCACTCCGTACTGGTTGGAGTAATGTGGGCACGCAGCCGACCTAGAAGAGTGCGGTTGACGCGCTCCACCAGACCATCGCCAGAAGGATGATACGCCGTGGTTCGCGTCTTGCGGATACCAAGGAGATGGCAGATATCCGCAAATAGGCGAGATTCGAATTGGGCCCCTTGATCTGAATGAAGCTGTTCAGGTGCACCGAACCGACTGATCCAACCATTAACGACAGCTGCAGCGACCGAAACAGCAGTGATATCGCGCAAAGAGAATGCCTCCACCCATCGCGTAAAGTAATCCGCCGTGACCAGGAGATACATATGGCCCTGTGACGTTTCAGGCAGAGGACCGACAATGTCCAAGGCAACAATTTCGAACGGATAACCGGCAATCATTGGCCAGAGTCTGATGTCATATATGGTCTAATAGAAATAATATAGGAACTGTTTGGCATACAAGAATCCGTACGCAGACTGTTAGCTGTTAGCATGGCTCAGTGGAAGGTTGACAGTTGGAACGGCACCAACAACCTGAGATCGGCGGCCATTCAGCATGGGATTTTCCAGGGGGACTCCATATCCCCACTGCTGTTCGTCATCTGCCTCATATGACAACTCCGTTCAGCTCTAAATGGCCACAACATCATCACATCCATCAACACCTGGGCTGTGGGTTTTGATATGGTATAGTAGTGGTATCTTGGCAACGACGCAGGACAATTTGAAATCTGCTGACCGAAGAACGCGAAAGCTTATGACTTTGCATGGCGCTCTTGATCCACGCGCTGATGTAGCCCGTTGGTACGTCAGTCGCAAGGAGGGTGGACGTGGTTTGCAAAGTATCCATTATGTTTTCACCATGGCGAAAAGCAATTTGCAGCGTTATGTACTTCAGTCAGATGCGGAACTCATGAAGCTTGCTGCACCCATTCTGTTGCCACATCGGAATGCCCCACCGGACACGTCACAGGTAGTAAAGTGCGGCTTCAAAAAGAACATCTCTTGGCGTGAACCCAGGAACCCTTGCATGGGTAATTTGTCCGGCAAACAGAACAACTGACCAACGAGAATACCTGGAGTTGGCTGACAAAGGCTGGTCTCACAGAGAGCCTGATCATAGCGACACAATACCAGGCCTTGGCAACTAACCTGCTCAAGGCCCAAATCTTCCATCAGGGCGGAATCCCCCTGTCTCGAATGTGTGGGAAGGCAGGCGATCGGCACTGACTTCTCGTTTGACCTTTGTTTTCCATTCTCCTCCTATGCCCTCATCATTTGTTGGTATAGTAATAGGAATGGAGACACAATCAAGAGTTCGGCTTTCTGTGTGGCGGGGGCCATTGGGACAACAATGCTATTTCATTATGGCGCGCTTTGTATGCGTAGACGCCGAGAACTTTGAGGTCGGCAGAGCCGCCTGGCCCCGCCAACACTTCTCGCACATATCCGAGAATACACGGAAAGTTGGGTGTGGTCCTCGAAAGAGTGCTCAATGTACCGGGGTGCAGAACTTCATACAAAAAGAATGGGATACGGAGCTTGGGTTGGCTGTGACTCAGAGTTTCACGCCTGTCTCGATCATCAGACAGCAATGATTACAAAAACTCAATGAATGTTCTTGATATAGTGTGGTAAGGTGCTAGTGGTATCAGAGTATCCGGGTATATAGTGGACTTTCGTATAAAAAAATAAAATAAATCTTTGCTTTTTGCTGTAGCTCTATAAATTGCTGTATTTTGACATTTTTCCATTATTCCATGATGAGAAGGGAGCGAAAACGTTCGGTTACGAAATTGGCTTACTTGACTGTGTGGATTGCGTCGGTGCTGTTACCTTTTCTTTCGAAATTGGATACGTCTCCAATTTATTTTCCTTGTGAAATAAAAAAAATTCCATTTCACCAAGTACCCATCCAAATAGCAAAGGGACATCCGACTACAGCCGACAATCACAGGTGATACGCAAAGAGGAAAGAGCCTGAAGGAAGAGCGCAATCAGATCCTACACAGAGAGGTTGCGTCTACCAGAGCCGTAACGAGCAACAATATGAAAGAAAGTCAGAGCCCATTAAGGGAATGGAACAGGATGTCCAGATGTCCAGAGTAGGAACTGGGTACTGTCAAAAGGTGAAACCCTAATCATTGGATGAAAAGTGTTACGTGCATGGGATACCCAGACGGCAGCGCACAGTAAATGGTGCAACAAAATTTCCCTTCATTTTCAGATCTGCCCTACAGTGCCTTATGCAAAATCATGTATCCCTCTATAACTTTCAAATGTTCTGAAGTTTTAGGAAGCGCAGAACGAAGATTATATGGCCTTTAGATCACTAATTGAAGCCATGAGTCATTCGCCCATTGCGGATAATTCTCCAAAACAATAACAGATTCTGTTCGAAAAGCATTGAAATTTCCAGAACTTTCAAACCTTACGGCACGCACTTCCTCTATTTCTGCTTCATTTCTTCATCAATATAACAAAAAAAGGGGGGTTGCAAACATAACAAAACATGAAACTTAACGAACCCAAACGAAGACCGAGGTTTTCTGGACCCTTTCTAACTTGATGATCCGCCAAGGACTAGGAGTCCCTGGGGAAGTCCCCGTTTAGGTATACTGTTTAAAGGGGAAGTTAAGGCAAAAATTAAAATTTTCACCAGTTGTAGTCTTCGGGGTGCCGAGTCGAATGGTCTTGGTCCGAGAAAGCTGAGACGCTCCCTTCCTACTTGAATCCCAATCGAACTCGCGCACTTCCACCGAAACTGGGTGACTGCGCCCTACTAGATGGGGATTTGTATGCAAAATGTCACTAAAAGCGCCATTTCGTTCTTATAAAATCACGGATGACCGCGATTGGCCCATATGTTGTAGTCTTTTGGACGCTGAGTCGACTGGTTTTGGTCCGAAAAGGCTGCGATGCAGCGTTCCTCCTTTATTCCCAATTGAACATGGTTGAACAAGCGGTCACGTGCTCCTGGGTGCCCAAATCACCTGGTCACCACGCCAGCAGGCGACAACTTTCACACCAAGGTTCAACTCGAGTTCAACTCGAGTGACAGGACTGCACCCAAAAAAGGTCATACAGGCTAGTAAGTTGTACCCTGCAGGCACGGTGACCAGGTGACTGGTGTACGCAGGAGCACGTGACCGCTTGTTCAACCATGTTCGATTGGGAATAAAGGAGGAACGCTGCATCGCAGCCTTTTCGGACCAA